TGTAGCCACACTGTAGAATTAAAGCACTTTGACTCCATTTTAACTGCCATGGCTATCCAACAATATTCTGGCATTTATAGTTTGGTAAGGGACCAGATTTCTCTGACAGGCCAGGCTGAATACCACACCAAACTACAAATACCAGGACATTTTAGGATAGCATAATGGCAGTTAAAGTGGTGTTAAACTGCTTTAAATCTGCAGTGTGGCTACACTGAGCTTTCTACCTTCAACATCACAAATGAGAAGATCAGTTAACCGCTAAATATTTTATTCTGCCCTGGAATAGACACATAAGACAATATCATACTACACTGTTATAGCGCTATCATTCCACTTTAGCGGCTATGCCTGACTCCTGTGGAATCCTGGGATTTGTAGTTTTGGAAGGGGCACTTAGGATTCTCTTAGGCCTCACTAAACTACACATCCCAGAATTCCACAAGAGGCAGCCCTAGTAGTTAAAGAGGAATAAGAGCTAGCATGGCATAGTTGTTTCAATGCTGGACTAAGCCTCTGTAGATACTTTTTAAGAGGTGGGAGGGTTCTGGGATTTTTTTTGGACTATATTTTAATTTATTGTATGGAATTTTAACTGCTGTAAGCCACCCTGATTGTTTGACTGAGGGGTGGGATACAAATAAAATTTATTATTATTATTTATTATTAGATCAGGGTTTGATTCCCTGCTTGGACATGAAACCCTTGGGCAAGTGACACTCTCTCAGCCTCAGAGGAAGACAATGGCAAACCTCCTCTGAGCAGATCTTGCCAAGAAAATTCCATGAAAGGCTCATCTTAGAGATTGCTGTAAGTTGGAAATGACTTGAAGACATACAACAATAGCAGTAGCACTGTAACACCATAGTGCGATATTGACACACTAGTACAGGGGTAGGCAACCTTTCCCCTTTAAGGGCCGAGGGACTTCAGCTCCCAGAATCCCAGGAGCTATTGGCCAACATGGGACTATTGGCCAACATGGCTGAGGCTTCTGGGAGCTGAAATCCCTCGGCCCTTAAAGGGGAAAGGTTGCCTACCCCTGGTCTAGTATATATGCAAGGTGCCACTGCGAACCAGTATTTGTGCGTCCTTTCTACCTAAGGAATACGAAAAAACAGCAGACTTTACCTAATGAAAGTGGTCTTCCCCGTGGAATACTGCCCCACCAGCAGGACCATAGGCTTGTTGTCAAAGTCCGCATCTTCCAGCGCTGGGGAATGAAACTCATGGAACTTGTAGTACTCTTCCAGAGGCAAAAGCTTGGTTCTGTACAGCTTTTTGAGACCTCCACTCACAGTCTGAAAAACTTCTGGGTCTTTCCGACGCTTGTCATCATGGCCCAGCCAACCTAACATTTTGTCACCCTGAAGAAACCTCACAGATTGGCCCTTTTTAGCCTTCCGGGTGGGCCAAAGATAAATGGGAGAGACAGTTACTTCAGCTCACTGGCAATTTCTGCTGTGGAAACTTCTCCTAGAGCTCAATGGGTAGGTCCCTATGTCCTTGTCTTCTTGGAAAACACTGCCACCACCTTGCTTGCTGTCTTCCCGGCCCTGTAATAATAAAAATAATAAATAAAAATAACATTTAAAATAAAAACAATATAAATTAATAAATATTATCATCATCATTTACAGTGGATCCATGCAGAGGGGCGGGATATAAATATTATTATTATTATTATTATCTGCTAGGGTTTAGTTCTAGGACCCAGCCCTCCAGCGGATAATAAAATCTGAGTTTTAAGTCTCACTAAATACAATGGCAAAATAAAATGGTGTCCATTATATAAAATGGCAAAATCAAGGTTTGCTTTTTAGAATTTATATTTAAAAAAAGATATTTCTAAAAATACTAAATATCAATATGCTAAAAACCAAAGAAGCAAAATAATTCTAAAATAATCTATTAGTTAGCTAATAATAATAATAATAAAATAATCTATTAAGTGGCTAAAAATCAAAACAAAATGCTAAATATCAATATGCTAAAAACCAAAGAAGCAAAATGATTCTAAAATAATCTATTAGTTAGCTAATAACAACAATAAAATTATTATTAATTGGCTAAAAATAAAAACAAAATACTAAACATCAATATGCTAAAAACCCAACAGGCAAAACAATATATGACTACGTTAAAAACCCAAAACAGACAAAATACACGTCATTATAAAGCATAGTGGCTATTACCTCAAATATTAAGTATAATTTATTTTTTAAAAACACAGTAATATTCTGAGGCGTTTTCTGCGGAGGTTTTGTGAGAGGAAAGAAGAGGGCAAGGAAGGGTCCGTCGGGCAAAGAGGCTCGGCTGCGGCCGGACTTTCGCCTCAGGCTCCTCGGCTCGAAGGGCGAGGAGGACCCGATGAACCGCTGCCGCCGCCTCAGCCTAAGAACCAGAAGGAGGAGCCGCTGCACCGCCCTCCCTCCTCTGCCACAGCGGAGCCTTTAAATGCCAGCCCCCACCGGAAGTACGCCAGGGGAACGGAAATGGGCAACGGACTCCGGGCGACGCCCCGCGCCAGGAAGAAACATGGCCGCAGGGAGCAGCTTCCACTCATGGAGTGGTGCGCGTGCGCAAGACGCTCTGCGAGGGACTGAGGCAGAGGCGACGGTAGTGGTGGTGAGCAAAGCGTGCGGAGTGCGACCCCTGGAGGGCACGAGTGGGAATGGCGCCTACAAGTGGATGGTCCTTGGGGCCTCTTCCCTCTCTAGGAGTCTGTGGGTTTTTGGGGGTTTTTTGG